TCCACGCCCGTCACGCCCTAAAATTCACGGTGTTTTTAAATTTTTCAAAACTATTGCTATAATTTTACACTTTTTTGAATTCATTCTATTTATTTCTCTAATTTCATAATCCATATTAATAACAAAAAATAAATACAATCTATAAATCGAAATTTATTTGGAAAAAGAAGAATGTCCATCTTTTTTTATTTCAATTGTGTACGCCTTTCCTCTAGTAAGAGATTGGCTACAGAAAATAACCTTTCACTAGAAGCCGAACTTGCAGCTGACAATACTCGATAATTTTCTCAAAAAAGGAAATGAATATTCCTGCTTCCAAAACTTCAAAATATTGTCTTTTTATTTATCTTATATGAATCTTTTAAGTTCATCCTCACAGCTTTCATCGGTGATGTTGATGCTTCATCAGAATCATCTAGAAATATACGGTCTTTTATGAGAGTAAGATGAATTAGGAAAGTGATAGTTGGTATTGATCATTTAGAATATATGGTTTTTTATGAGTTTAGGATAAGTTAGGAAAGTTATAAATGGTAGTTGGCATCGACTTATGCATATCATCTAATTTTATATCATTTAGCATTTTTAAGATTGTTTTATATATATCATTTTCTTCTTTTATTAAAAACTTAAGTCTTTTAAAATTCGGATCTAGAATTAAGCCTTCTATAGTGGCTGTATAATAATCTTTTAAATGAAATCTTGTTCTGTATTTTAAGGTTTTGATTATTATTGTATCACGTTCAGAAGGTTAACAAAATTTTATTAATTTTTGTTTCCATAGACAAACTTTATTTATTGTGGGACGAGAATCTGCTCTCAGATTATCTGAGCATTATTTAAATATTGATAAAAAATTTACTAACTCGATGCTGATATCAACTGTGGTTAATCTATTTAATTCTTGCTTGCTAAACAAGTACACCTGTATTTCAAAATATGATTTTAAGAAACTCTGTATCATGATATATACAGAGTTCCATCTCGTTATTCTCGCTATTACATATTGTTTAAGAGTGTGGCTTAGTTTGCTTTTAGCTGTGTTTGAAATATTGTACTATTATATTTACACCACTTATATTTAAAGCTATTTCAGAACAATTGTCAAAAATATAATGCATAATATTATATGGCATATACATGCTAGCGTTTCGTCATCTTTGAATGCATTTATAAGATTTGCTCCGTTATCACTCACAACTATACATTTATTTAAGTAATTTTCTACTTCTGTATATTCTCCTAAAATTGAATTGACTATTTAATTTTGACGCTTTTTTCATCCATTGCCCTTGTGGTCACAACAAATGTTTTTAATTAAAATCCTCAATGATAATATGTCCTATAATGGTTAAAAAACTTAGATTTTTATAGTCATCCGTACAAATATCAATGATTATGGACAATAATCATGCTTTTAGTCTTAAATTTTATTTCATGGCATATTTTTGAACCTATAGTATTCATGAGAGTTTTCCGGTTCACAACTTTTATATTTTGTTATCCATATGTAACACCAACATTTATCTCTTGGCCTAGCTTTAAAATCCTTCACTTTCTGTTGCATTTAAAGATTGAAGATCTTTACAAATAAAATATAACTGACTTTTCTGTAAAAAGTTTAAGCAAAATTTAGCATAAAGTCTCGCGATAAAAAACACCTAAACATAAAAAGAAAATAGAACTAACAAAATGATACCGGATGTTGTTTATAAAATGCGGAAGATTTTTAGCTTTCTTAAATTATTCTTTTTTAAAAAAGAACTAAATTAAATAGAAAATATATAATATTATTATAAAATTGCAAATTTATATTTATAAAAACAATTTAAAAAATTTAAATTTCCGTGATTCACGGGAAATTTATGTTCAGGCCCGATCACGCCTGCGGAAAATTTTGGGAAGGCCCGTCACGCCTTGGAATTTAAAATTTATTCACACTCACGCCGTGGCCCACCGTGACACGATGGGTCATGCCTAATTTCACGGCCCGCGCCCACCTTTAGCCTAGATATCTGTAGTATATATTTTGTTTTATTTTTTCAAAAAAAATTTATTAAGCTTAAAAAAATATATGTTATAAAAATTTATAACTGGGCCGATTTACTCCGCTTTTCTTAACAAATCGGCGCGCCGCCGGCCGTCGATTAGATTTTTGAAAATTGCGCCAGCCGCCGATAGTTTCGTCGGCGCACATGGTTAAGTATCTACATATTTATGGTAAATCAATTTCATAAGTGATTTAAATATTTTTCTATCCCTTTAGGCGATTGTAGAAGATATGTCTTCGGACTAACTTAATCTTTTATCTCCGGGTATCCAACTGGGTTGATTTCTTTGGTCACTAAAATTCTTTATACATAGAGTATCATTATCATGAAACGTTTTTAGTTCCATATTTACTAAGTTATCTTTAAACCCTTTATGTTCTAATTTCGAAAATAGTCCTAAAGCTCCCTTAATAATAACGAAGTTGGAGTAACTGATGTTGCAGCATGTGAGTAGTGCGATACGTGAATAAAAATTCTTCTTTATTGTTTCTTGAATTTTTTTCCATATAATTTTTGTACTAATCTCTCTACTTCCCCATTGGAACGTGGATGATAAGGTGCTACTCTGTGGTGTATTCTGTTGTATCATTTGCCCCAATTTAAATTTCCATAGGCCCATTATTTGTGAGCATATAACGGGTGAGTATCAACCATAATTGACTGTTTATGGGTTCCACAAAATTTATATGTACTCTGACAAAGACTGGCTTGGGAAATTACCTTTTCGTTAGTTGTGTCGGTAATTTTGTATTTGTTGACAATGGATGCACAACTATTTTCTAAAATTTCATTAGGCCATCATATATAGACGTGACAAATGTTGCATTTAAATGATTCAGGATGTCCTTCGCGCAGTATATTTAATGAATCATATTAATTATTTGGTGTTATTCGATGGAAGCAGAAGTTAGATACATCCATTTTTCATTGATAATTGTTCTACGATTGTAAAAAGGTGTGTATTATTCACTTTTGTAGGCCACGTATTTTCCTAAAAATCTCATAATTTCAATGATCACTGAGTCTTTATTTGCTCTAATCTAAGTCCTATTTCATAAACCAATTTTTTGTTTCATCATTGTTGTAGATTGCACAAAGATTTGCTGCTTGATTTAAAGATTACAGAGTATTAAATTTAGCTAGGAATAATTCACATCTAGTTAGTCTCGGAAGTAACTGTGCTATATTCTTCTTTGGGCTGAAAATAGATAATAAAGGTTTATGATCTGTTACTATTTCAATTTGCCATCCCAAACAGTATTGTTCGAATTTATTCAGACCGAACATGATTGATAACGCTTCTTTCTCTATTTGAGAATAATTTTTTGTCCAAATTTTGAGAGTACCCATGAAGCGAATGCAATAAGTATTATCGGTAAATCGAGGTGATAAGATGGCACCCAGACCATAATTGGAACACATCGGCAGCGAGAATTAATGGTTTTAATTGCAGATATGGCGTTAATAGAGAAGCATATGTGTTTTTTTAAATCAAGAAATACATTATCAAAATATCCATTGATTATTTTTTTGTAATTGATTATATAGTGATCGTGCCTTTGCTGCGAAATTCAGAATGCATGATAATATGCAAGAAGTTGGTAATTCTTTTATATTATTGGTTTAGGTGCAATTATAGCTGTTACATGTTTGATCGGGGTTTGTATACTAACACCATTATTTTGTGCCCATTTCCTTTGTTTTTGTAACAAGTGACGAACAGCAATCATTTTAAAAAATAGAAATCTCTTTATTTCAATTTAAATAATAAAAGTTTACAACTAATAAAATATAACAAATTTTATATATAAATATATAACAAAAATGGCAATATAAAATTATTTACAAAAAAAATTGATATAATTGTCGTGAACTGACACACTGAGATAAATTTGTAAACTTTATTTTTTTTTCAATATATTTAAAATAAAATATTTTCATTTGTGTCCTTCATTTTGTTTATTGGACAGGTATCCTTAGCACCCGGCTGTCCAGGCCTGTCGGTGACCGGGGTGTCATCTCTAAGCTCCGAAATTTATCATACCATATGTCTTTACACATCAGTCATCGAAGAAAAACTTTAAAGTTTTTATGGTTCTTACCAGGATTGAACCCGCGTCCTTGTTCATGCTCGTGTTTCCAAGCCTACATCTTACCCATTAGGTGGAGATCTTTATCTGGAGTGCTATTTGACAAAAGAATCCCACACAAATTAAAGGGAAAAATTTACAGTTCCATAGTACAACCAACTATTCTATATAGTTCAGAAACATGGCCAACCAAAGAATCAGACGAGAGAAGTCTACAAACTATGGAGATGAGAATGCTGAGGATGATTGCTGGGGTAACAAGAAAGGATAAGGTGCGCAGTACAAGAATACTAAATAGTTTAAAGGTAGTGCCCATTAAGACTAAGTTAATGGTAAACAGACTTAGGTGGTATGGGCACACAATGAGAAGGCCTATGAACTACATAGGAAATAAAGTTGAAAGATTGGAAGTGATGGGCAAACGTAAAAGAGGAAGGCCAAAACTTCAATGGGGCCATAAAGTTAGAGCCAATATAAAGAAGTATAAAATAGATAAAAGAGATTGTACGAATAACATAAAGTGGAGAGAGATGTTGAAGGAGCTTACCACCAGAAAAGGTGAAAGCTAAAGAGAAAAAAAAAAAAAAATTTTAAATAAAATAACACGGTCATCGTAAAACATTTTATTCATTAGCTTCAACATTACGAATTTATAAATTTGCAAAAAATCAAAATATATACGAAAAAATAAAAAAATTATCGAAAAATACCAATTTTTTTATTTCAAAACATTATACATAAAAATCAATTAATCCAAAAAGAAAAATCTATATATATAATCCTCAAAAAATGTCAATCAAATTTAGCCAATAGTTTTCTTTTAAATATTATTTGTCCAATCAAAATATGGTAATCAACGTGAAAACTCAATCATTTATTCACAAATCACTTCCATATGCCTCAAATCAAGCATTTAAAACATTACTCAAGTATATCTATATTGGGAAAATGAACTTAACTTCTCAAAAAGTAAATCTATTATATTCAATTATTATTTTTTTCAAGATAATTATTTTCTTACGTATAAAATACATGCAACTTAAAATTAAATTATATCAGGCTCAACAGGAAATTATAGGTTACAAAATATACTAGCTTTAAGGAGCGAATACTTTAGGTTATTACCTTAATTTATATCTAACCTATATAATTTAGTGTTTAAAAAATAGAGCCCTTTTATATGGAGGAATGAAAAAATCTTTGCCAGGTTGTAATGAAATAGAATTAAAAGATGCCCCAAATCAAGAATTTAAAACATTACTCAAGTATATCTATACTGGGAAAATGAACTTAACTTCTCAAAAAGTAAATCTATTTTATTCAATTATTATTTTTTTCAAGATAATTATTTTCTTACGTATAAAATACATGCAACTTAAAATTAAATTATATCAGGCTCAACAGGAAATTATATAAAAATATTGTTCAGTCTGGATGGTCAATATTTTAGCAAGATTTGTTCAAACCAATTTAATCAGAGTACAAGATAATGCCACCCTTAAGATTTTTTATTATAAACATCCCTCTGGCTAAACTGATTTTTATAGTTCGATTGGATCTGATATTAGTGTTGTCAAGGGCCTGTTTTTGATATTTCATGTTTATAAAATAGAAATATCTAGGGATCTACCAACATCTTTAACGGATTGAACAGATATTTTGTTCTTTTAAAAATATTATCTGCCAATTATATAAAATTTTTTATCCAATCCGATAAAATTGTTTATTACTTATTATGTATATAGATTAATGTGATATAAATAAGTGATTTATCATTAAAAATATTTTATAATAAACTATAAATGATCTTTACAATATATTTAAAGGACTTATGTTATTGTATAATTAAATTATAGATGTTATACTATTAAAAAGTATATGAGATGAGTAGAAATATGTATTAAAATTTAAAACCTAAAATGTTTACAGACTATAGATCAGTAATCAGCTATTATTAATTTAATAATTTCAATATTGAATTGGTTCAGCTTCCAAATAGTGCTTTTGATGCACCCCTAGAGATAGCTATATATTTATGCTATTTTATTCATCAGTTGTTTTTTTTTAAATTTATTTTTGCAAACTGCAGGCAATTTTTTTAAATTCTATTTGACCTAAGAAAGATAGATATTTTTTACATGATATATTTATTATGCTAAAAATTCCCCCCTGGTGCAGATTTTAATGAGTAGTTGAAAATATAAAATCACATCATTTTCTAAGGTTTGAGATGGGTTAGATTTAGAGTTTTTCTCCCACGAATTGATCTAGCTCCAAGTGACTCTCAGTTACCATTTACTTTAAAAAGATGACAGTTTCCTATAATTCCCACTTTTGTGATTACAATAAATAAAAGTCAAGGACAAACTTTTGATCATGTAGGCTTATTCCTCCCTGAGCCCGTCTTTGCCCATGGACAACTATATGTGGCTCTTACTAGATGTAAATCTCAAAATAATATGAAAATTATGATTTTGCTATCAGAATTACAAGGAAAAATTTAAAAAAATGATAAAACATTCACACAAAATATCGTATATAATGAAATCTTAAATTCATAATTTGTAAGAAATTTAAAAAAGTCACCAACTTTGTTATTCACCATCAAATCACCAACTTTATACCATCTTCCTCACCAACAACAGTAAATTCTATTTTATAATTTCAATTTACACGTTTTATTTCAGGTTATTTACGGCAAACTACGAGCAAGGAAATTACAACATCATCTTTAAAAACGAAACCACATTGAGCAAAGAAAAGAGAACTTCTTCACCATCGCTAAACCATCTTCCTCACCAACAACAGTAAATTCTATTATATAATTTCAATTTACACGTTTTTTTCAGTTACGGCAAACTACGAGCAAGGAAATTTCAACATCATCTTCAAAAACGAAACCACATTGAGCAAAGAAAAGAGAACTTATATTATTCATCAATCATTGAATAAAAAAGACAATTCATCACTCTTAGTCTTAATGGGTTGGAATTGGCCTGAAGGAGGAGGGGGAAGGGTAAAAAGAATTATCGTAAAAGAACGAATAAAATTCTCATCCCCGTCACTTTTGACGGGTTATCAACTAGTAATATAATATTACAACAATAACAAAAATGAAAATCTTTTAGCTCGAAGGTTGTATAAAATTAATTTAAGTTTAGATTATTTTTTTATTTAAAAATTTATTAAAATCAACATTCTTCACTCAAAAAAAATATCATAACCATTTATAGCTTTTATTTTTCATGATATCGTTGTTCAAATTGCAATTTTCATAATTCTTAATATCCTACGATGTTATTAATTTTCGTGATCATGTTCTATGATGTCCTTAAATTTTTTGATCGATTTTTATTCAAATATTTATCAAAAAAATTTTCTTTTATAGAAGTATATGCGTATTATTTTTAATTATGTAATGTATATGTTTTGTGTGTTGATGTTAATTATTGTGAATTTTTTGTGTTTAAGATATAATCTTCATTCCGTACGGGTATTATTTTCTTTCTAATTGGCCTCGATATGTTAGTCAAGAAATTTTTTTATGTGTTGATTATATCTTTTCCAACATTTCCCCTTTTGTAAAATGTGACTGTAGGTAAAGTGTTCTGTTCATACGTGATAATTTTATTAATAGTAAATTTTTTAAGTTGATCGAAATGTATTGATGTAGCATATTGCTTTCTTTGTTTATGATAATGCCTTTGTCCCATTTGTTTACTCCAAATATTTTGTACGAAATTCTGTCTCCATCCATAGTTCTATTTTTCGGTAAAGTCGTGCAAAATATTATCGTTGTCTTTTTTATATTTTAATAAATCCCATTTGGTTCTCATGTCGTGATTAACCATTAGTTTCCTTGGAGGAATACATGACGTGTTGTTAGGTTTATTTCTGTAATTAAATAAAATAAATTTAAGAGCGATATAGTCTATATTATTTTGTTGCATGCACTTTTTCATGTGCATTTGAAAGTTCTGACCATCCTTCCTACTTGCCCATTGGATTGCTGATGGTGGGCCGAAGTCAGATAGTGATGTATATCGTGGTCTTAAATTTTTTAAACAGTTGACTTGAAAAATTTGAGCCATTGTCCATGACTATTTGCCAAATAAGCTTATCGTTTTCATTAATTCTTTTATTGTGATCTCCTCAGTTATTAATTTAACCGACGTGATTATATGAAACTTACTGTATGCGTCTACTATAAGCAACCAGTATCTGTTAAAAAGAGCCCAGCATACTCAATTCTTATTCTTTTGTATGGCTTCATCGTTATCATCCATGGATGCTGTGTGTTAATGGAATGAATTATCTGCTCAAATATTAAAAGATTTAGATTCTTTTATTCCATTATAGATGTAATTATTAATTCCAGGCCACCATAGGTATTCATTTGTTAAATATTTAGTTTTACCAGCACCCAAATGTCTTTCGTGCAAATGTTGTAACATTGACTTTCATAAATCTTTCGGTATGATGATTTTACTTTCTTTAAATAGACAATTTCCCATAATACACAATTCCATCATCATATTATTATATATTTTATTTATTGTCGTATCATCATTTATTATTTCCATCAATTTTCTAACAGAAGTTTCTTAGATCATTTTAAAGTTACTGGTACGTCCCATAAGTCATTATTTTCTTTTAAATCATTCATGATGTGTATTTCTTCTTCCAAAGGTTAATGCCAATCTTGATAAATAATCTGGTACCGTGTTGTGTTTACCTGCTATATGTCTTATTTCGAAGTCGTAAGCTCCCATTGCAGTGTTCCATTTCTAAAATCTCATCGACATAGATGAGTTTTCTTTTAAACCTTTGGAAAAAATGCGGATCAAAGGCTTATGATCAGTGAATTATAAATTTTGTTCCGATTTGATAATCCTGGAATCTTTTCATCGCAAAAATGATTGCTATCTTGCGTTCGTGTTGGTGTAATTTTTTCAGATTTTAATAAGGATCTTAAGGCAAAAGCTATAGGCGTTTCTTTGCCCTTTCTTTCTATGTAAATAAGATAGCTCCTAAGCTACATTTAGACGGATCAGCAACTATACCTATGGGTAAGTCTGGATTGAAAAAGTTCAACTTAGGAGGTTGACTGATTAAAGTTTTTAATTTTTATAGAATTCTTGATGTTCTGTACTCCAAGTCCATTTATCTTTATTGATTACTTTATCAATGGATCTCTCGCAAAATTATTAAAAAAATTTTGGTAGTAGCTAGCCATGCCTAAAAAGTGGAAAGTATTTCTGAATTTTTTGGTTCGGGCATGTCTATGATTGATTTGATTTTGTCATCGATATGATGTATGCCATCTTTGTCTATGTCATGTCCCAAAAATCGTATTTTCTCTTGCAAGAATAAACTTTTGTCAAAATTAGGTGTTAATCCATATTTAATTTCAAATACTTTCTTTTTATCCTCCATGTGTATCTCATCGTTATCACCTGTGATTAGTGTTGTTAAACGGCTCGTTTTGAAATATTGAGTTAACCGAGATTTTGTTCATAGAAAAAACAAAGGACTAGTCAAAATCTCAAGTCTTAGGCAATAATTTTCTGGTTAAAATATTGAGTTAGCCGTTTTTAAAAATCAGCTCAAAACGAGCCTTTAATAACACTACCTGTGATTAATAAGCCGTCTATATATATATTTTACATCTTTTAAATCTCCAAAACCTGTTCCATTGTTTGCTGAAATGTAGCTGAAGACGTCTTACCTCTGAATGGAAGTCTTGTGAACCTGTAGTATCTCTTGTGCATGGATATTGTGAGTAAATCTCTAGACTCTTATGAATTTGAAGGAGAACGCTTGTTTAAAATCTATTTTGATGAACTTCTTGCCTCTTGGTAATTTGGCAATTAAATCGTTGATTCAGGGTATAGGGTATTTAAAATCTTCAAGAGCTGGGTTAACAGTCTCTTTGAAATCGGCGCATAGCCTGAGACTCCCATTGTTTTTGAAGGCTGATGCAAGTGGAATCGCCTATCTGACGTCTTTCACTGGCTCGATGATCTTGTTTTCTAGCCAAGTATTTAGTTCTTTAGTTATAATATCTATTCTAGAGTGGTTCCCTTCTCGGTGGTATAATCTTTGGCTTAGCGTATGGCTTTAATCATAATCTAATTTGAGTTTTCATCACAGGTATATTTTATCTACTTCGTCAATTTGTCTTTATGATCCACATTTATCATGCCAATAAATTTTTCAAGTATATTTTTATGTTTTAACCAAGATCTTCCTAACAAAAGCATCTTAATACTGTTTGCGATTAACGCGTCCAAAATTTGAAAATCCCCTTCCTAGAAGAATTTAATGAATAAAGAATAAAGACCAATTACTGTAATTGGTAAAAATGACGAATCAAATATTTTAATTAATAAGAGTGGTGAAATGTATTTTTAGAAACGAATAGTGGTAATCAAATAAAAAACAACTTTGAATAAATAAATTATACACAAGTAAAATTTGTTAATTTTGATAAACAAACAAGATTATATTGAATATATAGATGATGTGTTAGAGATAAGAGGGATATTAATAAATAAGGAAACCAAAAAAAAAATTATTTGCATACATAGGGATTAGTAATTTGGCAGAGATGAGGTCATTTATATGTCCAAGAATCTTGAAGGAACTTAATTATGAGCAGATAGTTGAAGTTGGGAAGGCAGTGTTTAAGCCCACTTCAACTTTGTTTAGCTCTAGGAATAGGTTTATTCTAATAGAAAGAGGGGAAGGCGAAAGTTTCTGAATTTGCAGGTCAGCCTAAAAGATTGGCACAAGAGTATAAGTTTGAATCTCACCTTGTTGGGATTGAGAAATCAGATAGTGGCTGGAATTAAAATGGTTGCATTGGAGAAAGATATTCGCACCAGATTTCCAGATGAAATAAATGACCTGGATAACAAGTTTTAAATATGGCTTTGGCAATGGAAAGAACTGAGGATGAAGTTACAAATATGATGGTAAAAAAGGTCAATAAACCTAAGGAGCAATTGGAGAATAATCAAGGAAATGTTTTAATCAAAAGTACTAATTAAGAAAAAGGGAATTTTAATTATTACAATAATAATAACAATTTTAAGTAAAGAGATAATAGTAAATTGAATAATAATGATATGGATAAGAACAATAACTGTTACGATGTGGAAGAACTCATACCTCATTCCAATGTTTTGCATCAAGGGTGAAATGTTACAATTGAAGGTAGGTCACTATGCAAAATATTGTAAGGGACGTAAGCTACACATATGCATCAAGATGACAATGAATCATCAGATTCAATTAATAACATCTCCCAAATTGGTAGAAACAGGGCTAAGATATCCGTTAGGATAAACTGATTACCGATTGAATTTTATTATATACGGGCGCACAGGTATCCATAATTGGTAAACAAAAGAAATTGGCAGACCAAAACTAACCAATAAACTATTGTCAGTTTAAGACAATCAACAGCTGGACGTCCTTGGTAAAACTATTGTAAGAGTGCAACTTTAAAATATAAGCAGTTCATTGCCAATTGTGGTTACCCGTTCAAATGACATAGCACAGTTTGATGGATACTGGCATATAATATGTTCATTCCACGACAAGTTACAATACCTAGTATAACAAGTAAAGATATTATAACAATACAGAATTTGTTAGTGTCCTCGATGATAAGTCAGGGCTAGTTAATGATTTTGAAGTTAAGTGAGGCAGAAAGGCCGAAATCATACCCAGTACGTAGAGAACCTTTTCCATTATGAAAACCAATTGAAATAGAACTCAATAGATTGATTAAATTAAGAATATTGAAGGAGATTGCCCCAACAAAAACGCGTATAACGTGGGCTACTCTAACAGTAAACGTGTGCAAAACAAATGGAGAAATCAGGATTTATGCTAATCTAACGTTACATCAAACCCATTTATCTTATATGATCACCATATTATACCAACTGTTGATGATCTATTAACCAAATTACAAGGGGGGGGGGGGGTTGAAATTACTATCATAGATTTAAAAGATGCTTATTTGCAGCTACCAATAAAAGAACGCTCAAAGGAATACCTAACTATATCAACCCATATTGGATATTTCGATACAGCGTCTACATGGCAGAAAATTTGAAGGAGGCAGGCCCCCCCCCTACAAAATCTATCCCTACCCCCCTTGCTAAACCACGATCCTATCGTGATATTATTTTAAAAAATCTAAATTTTATAATAAGCTACCATGTATAATCTCACAACAACATTTTATTTACATCCTTTCAGGCCTATTTAGATATTTCTAATTCTTGCTAATAATCATTCGGCAAGAAAAGCT